GCTAGGGAATTCTGGGAGTTGAAGTCCATATCTCTGCAACCTTGCCGAGGTTGAGAAGCCCCGTCTTGAATCCAAAGCAAGACAATTCGAGAGTTTTGCTTCCAGATTCGCTGCGTCCCACCGTCCCAAACTCCGAATCAAAAAGCTGTTTGCAAACACGGCTCTCTAGCGCGCTAGGAATACTTCATCACCCACGCACAATTTGTGGAATTATCATGTGTTTTGTGTTTTGCATACTTGCAAAATATTTTGCCATCGTTTTGCACAGCCAGGGATTTGGTGTGAAAGGCTTTCTGGCTTGCCACCAGCTTTCGGGTCAGGAGGGGCTGCCCAGAAATAAAATTCATTTTACTTCCCAAGATTTTTTTGTTATGTCCAATGTTGGGCACCGTTTGCCCTCTCAACAGACCTAGCCGGCGTGCAGAATTGGGCCACCCATTAAATCGTACCCCGAGGAAAAGTTTGATTTAACACAGGAGTCTCTGAGTTTGACAACTTTTAAGACCTGTGGACTTCGGCTCCCAGAATTCCCCAGCTAGCCATGCTTAAAAGTTGCCCACACTGGAGACCCCAGATCTAAGAAGGGAAAAATAGCCAGGAATTGAGTTCAAACAATTGTTGGAGGAAAAATCTTCATCATGGTTCAGTCCAAGCCGGGAATAAACAAAACAGAGACTGCTTTAGAAAGAAGGTTGCAGTTTATTGAAGAGGAGAGCCAGACAGAAAGATGGCTCAGGAAGAAAAAAGAGCATATGTAGGGAGTGGGTTTTTATACCTTCTTGAGCCTTTTGTTTGGAGTTGTTCCTGTGGCATGAACTTTGACCTGAGTCTGAGTGTGCCTTTCTGGTATTCTGACGGTGGTAGGTTAATCCTATTATGTCCCAAGGGTCATATCCTGCTTCCCTGGGGCTGTGGCTGATGACTCTTAGATTTTTTAGTGTATTGATTCTAGGGATCTTTCTTCCTAATCCCAGTTTCCTGACTCTATTCTTCCTGACAAGATTATCACATAGACTTGGTTTCTGTTTGGGACAGAGAGACTTGGGGGCGGGGTTGGTTTCTGCTTTTAAAATCCTTTAGGGAAATATATTCTGCCTTTTAAATATTTCCAAAAATATTTCTTTCTCTGGCGGGGGGGGGGGACTGACTTCCCACACAAGCAAGGGGCAGATGCGTTAGGATGGACCTCACAAGCCCAATGTCCCCCTTCCTACTTCAGGGGAAGGCGGAGGATGAGAAACAAAAAGGAAGGCATCCAAGAGCACGTGCAGAGTGTTTTTCCCATTATGTCTAGGAACTGACGGCATGCAACACAGCAGCTTGATTAAACTCATAATGGCAACTGTGCTAACAACTTGAGAAAGGCCTATAAAATCGCTTTTATTTCAGCCTAAATTTGCTCACCATGTGCTGGAAAATAACTCCCCCCAGCAGGGAAAGATACACAAAAGCAGTGGTTCTCAACCTTTTTAATGCTGTGACCCCCCAACCGGTCGTAAGTTGAGGACTACTCAACCGGTCGTAAGTTGAGGACTACTCAACTGGTGCAGCACCGTTTGCAGAATGGGACTTTTGACGGGCTCAGCAGGGCAGAGACAGCCTGGACAATTCCTACTGGCTTTTGAAAGCCAATAGAATTAGACTCTGTTCAAGAGAATCTATTCTATTGGCTTTCAAAAGCCAATAGAATAAAAGGGAATAGCACAGCTAAGGAAAAGGGGGGGGGGGGAAATGGCGGACTGCATTGTTTGGCGACCTCCGTGAAATGGTCGTTCCACCCCAAATGGGGTCCCGACCCACAGGTTGAGAACCGCTGCACAAAAGCATTGCGTAAGGTAAAAATCGTAATCAAAATTAGCCCTGCTGAACGGTTAATCTCTCCTTTATCTTTCCTCTCGTCCTTTTAAACTGGAGGATGCTTGGGAGAATACAAACATTTGCTCCAAAGAGTGGTTGGTTTATTGATCAAGTGATTGATCTAACCCGCTCAACCGTAATTGAAAGCAGTCTGCTTCACCAATAAACACTAATCCGTCAATAAAAACCACACAATGAAAAAGCAGAGTTTATTAAAATACCAACAAAGGTGAAAAAACTGGGCTTTAATTAATTCCCTGATCTCTAGGTTAAAATGGCTGAAGTAAATCATTTCAACAGGAGTAGCCAAGCTTGGCTCCATTAAGACCTGTGGACTTCAACTCCCAGAATTCTCCAGCCAGCCATGCTGGCTGGAGAATTATGGGAGTTGAAGTCCACAAGTCTTAAAGGGGCCAAGGCTGGTGACATCTCTGTCCCACCCATTATTTTTCTACCTTGGCAACTTAGAAAGGAATAGAATAGAATAGAATAGAATAGAATAGAATAGAATAGAATAGAATAGAATAGAATAGAATAGAATAGAATAGAATATATGGAGTGGAGTGGAATGGAATGGAATGGAAGAATAGAATAGAATAGAGTAGAGTAGAGTAGAATAGAATAGAATAGAATAGAATAGAATAGAATAGAATAGAATAGAATAGAATAGAATAGAATAGAATAGAATAGGAAGGGACCTTGGAGGTCTTCTAGTCCAGCCCCCCGCTCGAGCAGGAGAGCCTATACTGTCTCTGACAAGTGACTGTCCAATCTCTTCTTAAAAACCTCCAGTGATGGAGCACCCACGATTTCTGGTGGCAAGCTGTTCCACTGGTTAATTGTCCTCACCGTCAAGAAGCTTCTCCTTAATTCTAGGTTGCTTCTCTCTTTGGTCAGTTTCCAACCATTATTGGAACTTTTTAATACCCATGGACTTCAACTGCCAGAATTCCCCTGCCAGCAATTCAGAAAAAGCAGAAGTTTTGAATCCGACTTGTGGATTAGAAAAGAGGCTACCAGACTCCTGATTTGTTTTAATGAAGAGAAGGACAAGGGGGGACATGATAGCAGCGTTCCAATATCTCAGGGGCTGCCCCAAAGAAGAGGGAGTCAAGTTATTCTCCAAGGCACCAGAAGGCAGGACAAGAAGCAACAGATGGAAACTGACCAAAGAGAGAAGCAACCTAGAACTAAGGAGAAACTTCCTGACAGTGAGAACAATTAACCAGCAGAACAGCCTGCCTCCAGAAACTGTGAATGCTCCAACACTGGAAGTTTTTAAGAAGAGACTGGACAGCCATTTGTCCGAAATGGTCTAGGGTTTCCTGCCTGAGCAGGAGTTGGACTAGATGACCTCCACGGTCCCTTCCAACTTTATTATTATTGTTGTTGTTGTTACTATTTAAAGCTGCATCGTCCCTTCAAATAATTCTTCAAGGTCGATACTCAGAACTGGGCAGAAGATAAAATCCGATCCGAGAAGAATCCAAAGTCATCTGTCTCCGATTTGGAAATTGTGTTTCTGCCACGCAGCAAAAAACCCGTCGGCTTTCCTTGCAGCCGCCTCGCTTGCTGACTCATATTCGGTTTGTCCTCTACTCGTATTTCGAGGGCAGGTGATCCTCCGCTTACGACCACAATTGCCCCCCCCAAATTTCCGTGCCTAAGTGAGACAGTTGTTAAGTGAATTTGGCCACCATTTTACGACCTTTCTCACCACCGTTGTTATGTGAATCCCTGCAGTGGTTAAGTTAGTGACACGGTCATTAAGTGAACCTGCTTCCCCATTGTCTCTGCTTGTTGGATGATGTCAAAAGGGAATCGCATGACCCCGGGGAACACGGCAACCGTCGTTACTGCGAGTCATTTAGGCAAGAAAAACCAAATGCACAAGTATAGCATAGGTGGCACCATGCTCAATAGTAGTAACTGTGAGAGGGACCTCGGAGTCCTAGTAGACAATCACCTAAATATGAGCCAGCCATATGCTGCAGCTGCCAAAAAGGCCAACACAGTGCTGGGCTGCATTAACAGAGGGATAGAATCAAGATCACGTGAAGTATTAATACCACTTTACAATGCCTTGGTAAGGCCACACTTGGAATACTGCATCCAGTTTTGGTCACCATGATGTAAAAAAGATGCTGAGACTCTGGAAAGAGTACAGAGAAGAGCAACCAAGATGATTAGGGGACTGGAGGCTAAAACATATAAGGAACGGTTGCTAGAATTGGTTATGTCCAGTTTAACGAAGAGAAGGACAAGGGGGGACATGATAGCAGTCTTCCAGTATCTCAGGGGCTGCCCCAAAGAAGAGGGAGTCAAGTTATTCTCCAAAGCGCCTGAAGGCAGGACAAGAAGCAAAATAGATGGAAACTAACAAAGGAGAGAAGCAACCTAGAACTAAGGAGAAACTTCCTGACAGTGAGAACTATTAACCAGTGGAACAACCTGCCTCCAGAAGCAATGAATGCTCCAACACTGTATTTGTATTTTTGTATTTAATTTTATTTATATGCCGCCCAATCCCAAAGGACTCAGGGCGGCATACAGAGTTAAAACAATCATAAAACAATAAAATAATACAGTCATACCGCGAGTCCGATCATATCCCGCCCCCCCCCCGGAAGTTTTTAAGAAGAGATTGGACAGCCATTTGTCCGAAATGGGATAGGGTTTCCTGCCTGAGCAGGGGGTTAGACTAGATGACCTCCAAGGTCCCTTCCAACTTTACTACTATTATTATTACTATTAAGATCCGAATTTGGAGTTCGTGACCCTAGGGATGCTGCAACGGTCCTAAGTCACTTTTTTTCCCACTTCCATTGTAATTTTGAAAGGTCACTAAATGAAGCCGAGGACTAACCGGGTGGGACTTAAGATGCTTTGCCGACCCCCAGAAGCGACCCCCCCCCACCCCAGGTCCGGGATGCCGGCTGCGGGGTCTCTTCCACCGGGCTCCCGCTCCCCATTCTACGGGCGGGGGTCCGCATGGCTCACCCGCCCACTCATCCACCCCCCCCCCAGCCAGGGTCTCCTTTGCAAATCCCTCGGGATCCTCCCCCCCCCCCCAAAGTCGCCCTGCGGGTCCGTGCACGAAAAGAGCCTGCAAGTCGGTCCCCCTGGCTGCAGGAGCGACCCGGGCAATTTTCCCCGGGCTTGTGGACTTCAACTCCCAGAAGTCTCAGCAACGGCCGCGCGGGCCGAGGCATGCCGGGAGCTGAAGTCCACGTGGACCAGGAAGTGCTCGAGGAAATTGCTGCGCGGAAAGCCAAGGTATTGCGCGGCGCCGAGCCTTACGTGTTAGGCGACGGGGGTCGTCTGGAAGGCGCTCGGAAAGGTTGGGCTGTTGGAAAAAGTGGGGAGAGCTGCTTCAGACCCCCCCCCCTGCCTCCCCCTCCCCAAATCCCGACTGTCTCGTTTTATGCCTTTGGGGCAGCCTTGTGTGTATGTGTGTGTGTGTGCTCCTTTGTTCGGTCTACCTTACAGGGTCGTTGTGGAGGAGCAAAGGGGAGACGGGGGGAGCCTCCTGCTCGTCCCTGGGTCAGAAGGGATTCAAATGCAATAAAATAACTAAGGGGGAAGGGGCTATTTGGGGGCGGGGAGGGGTTCCTTACCTCTGCCAGGAGCAAAATTGTGGGTTCGATTCCCCCCAGCCCAACAATCGGGGCTTAGGCTGGTTTGTGACTCGGGGCTTGGTGTGTGTTGTATAAACCGTGGTTCCTTGAGGGTGGGGAAAAAATCGCCCCAGTGCCCCAATTTGATCTCCTGGTTAGGCTAATTGAACAAACTAAGAGGGGCTGATTTCCCCAACCCCCCCCCCCCAGTCAGAAGCAGAGAGGCACCCTTGGTTTGGAAAAAAAAACAAACTCCATTCTGTTTCCTTCTTAGCCAACATTTGCTGAAGACCAATCTGCCTTTTCTGCGTGGCTTTAATGATGATTAATCTTGGCAGGATTTAATCCCCTCGGGAATGCCTGACGGAGAAAGCATCCATCAAGGGCTGAAGACCCCTCCCCCAAAAAACAATCCTTTTTATATAATAATAATAATAATATTTATTTATTTATTTATTTATGAGACTTATATACAGCTTTAAGTGCAAGCACTCTCTAAGTGATGTACACCAGTAAGCAATGTGTATGTATGTGTGTGTATATATATATATATATATATATATATATATATATATATATATATATATATATATATATATATTTACATTGCCCCCAACAATCTGGGTCCTCATTTTACCTACCCCGAAGGATGGAAGGCTGAGTCAACCTTGAGCCGGTGAGATTTGAACCGCTGACCTGCTGAACACAGTCAGCTAAAGTGGCCTGCAGTACTGCACTCTAACTGCTGCGCCACCTCGGTTGTCGCAAAGGCTCATATAATAATAATAATAATAATAGTTTGAAGGGACCTTGGAGGTCATCTAGTCCAACCCTCTGCTCAGGCAGGAAACCCTACACCATTTCGGACAAATGGCTGTCCAGTCTCTTCTTAAAAACTTCCAGTGTTGGAGCATCCACCGCTTCTGGAGGCAGGTGGTTCCACTGGTGAATTGTCCTCACTGTCAGGAAGTTTCTCCTTAGTTCCAGGTTGCTTTTCTCGCTTTTCTCCTTTATTAGTTTCCATCCATTGTTTCTTGTCCTGCCTTCAGAGGCTTTGGAGAATAGCTTGACTCCCTCTTCTTTGGGGCAGCCCCTGAGATACTGGAAGGCTGCTATCATGTCCCCCGGACCTTGGAGGTCATCTAGTCCAACCCCCTGCTCAAGCAGGAGACCCTATACCATTTGAGACAAGTGGCTGTCCAGTCTCTTCTTAAAAACTTCCAGTGTTGGAGCTTTCACCACTTCTGGAGGCAGGTGGTTCCACGGGTTAATTGTTCTCACTGTCAGGAAGTTTCTCCTTAGTTCTAGGTTGCGTCTCTCCTTGATGAGTTTCCATCCGTTGCTTCTTGTCTTTGCCTTCAGGCGCTTTGGAGAATAGCTTGACTGCCTCTTCTTTGGGGCAGTCCCTGAGATACTGGAAGACTGCTTTCCTGTCCCCCCTTGTCCTTCTCTTCATTAAACTAGACGTGTGTGTGTGTGTGTGTGTATGTGTGTGTGTGTGTGTGTGTGCATCTTTGAGACAACCACAACCTGGATGATTGAGAATCTCCATAGATGTTCCACTGGTTAATTGTTCTCACTGTCGGGAAGTTTCTCCTTAGTTCTAGGTTGCTTCTCTCCTTGATCAGTTTCCATCCGTTGCTTCTTGTCCTGACTTCAGGTGCTTTGGAGAATATATATCTTCCCTCCTACAGAACTCGTATTGATGGCCGAGTCGAGAAAGCAGAAACGGATCCTAGTGACCGGAGGGTCCGGCCTGGTGGGAAAAGCCATTCAGAAGGTGATTGCAGACGGGGAATGCCAGGTGGACGAGACGTGGATTTTTGTGTCCTCTAAAGACGCTGATTTAAAGTGAGTGGGTGAAGTCTTCTTCTGCTGGACTTAAGGAACTTCTGCTTTGTAGAAGCTGCAGGACCCGGGAACATCTGGAGAAGACCCAAAGGTGCTTTTCCCACTGGACTTCTTTGGTTTTTCTTTGGAGACATTTCGCTTCCCCTCCAAGAAGCTTCTTCAGCTCTGAGTGGATGGTGGAGAAATGGAAGGATTTATACTCCTTGCAGACAGCCGGTCATTTGCATCCTGTTAGAGAGTCGTCGTTGAGGCCACTTGGAGGTTTATCTGTGTTTACACAACTCAGTCCTTTCAGCAGCTCCAAGAAGGCTCCCCACCCATTTGCACCACTCAGGGGACCCTGAGGACACAGACACACCTCCAAGTGGCCTCAACGACCCTCTAAAACAGTGGTTCTCAACCTTTTTATAGCCGCGACCCCGGTCGTAAGTCGAGGACTACCGGCCCGGGAGCGCCGCGCAGGCGTGGTGCCGCCCCCTGTGCCGGCTGAGGCATAGCCGGCAAGGGGCAGCGGCAGGCAGGCCCGGGCGGCCACGGTAGGCAGGGCGACCACCGGCTTGGCCACCAGCTGGCCCAGCCCAAGGCAGGTAAGGCACCCGCCGGGCCCCACGTGCGCCAGCAATCGTCTCTGCACCCGCTGGCCTCCCACCTCCCACCCTCTTTTATTTACTTTTTAGTTGCTCAGCAGGGAGGGAAGCTCTGCAGACTGTTCCCCTTGCAGCACCGTTTGCAGAATGGGACTTTTGGCGGGCTCAGCAGGGCAGAGACAGCCTGGACAATACCTATTGGCTTTTGAAAGCCAATAGAATTAGACTCTATTCAAGAGAGTCTATTCTATTGGCTTTCAAAAGCCAATAGAATAAAAGGGAGTAGCACAGCTAAGGAAAAGGGGGAAAAAATGGCGGACTGCGTTGTTTGCGACCCCCGTGAAATGGTTGTTCGACCCCAAATGAGGTCGCAACCCAGAGGTTGAGAACCGCTGCTCTAAAAGGAGGCAAATGACCGGCTGTCTGCAAGGAGTATAAATCCTTCCATTCCCCCACCATCTACTCAGAGCTGAAGAAGCTTCTGGGATGAGAAGGGAAATGTCTTCAAGCAAAAACAAAGAAAGTCAGTTGCCTCCTGGAAAAGCACCTTTGGGACAACCAGGACTTGGATTGTGGTGAATCTCCATAGACATCTGGAGAAGACCTTTTGGTGAGGTCTAAGCTGGGTTCCTGAAGCTAGCTAGGCCAATGTTGTTCAACCTTGGCCACTTTAAGATGGATGGACTTCAATTCCCAGAATTCTGGCAGTTGAAGTCCACACATCTCAAAGCATGGTGGCTGGGGAATTCTGGGAGTTGAAGCCCACCCATCTTAAAGCATGCTGCCTGGGGAATTCTGGGAATTAAAGTCCACTCGCCTTAAAGCACTTAGGGTGAGGAATTCGAGACGTTGAAGCCACCCATCTTAAAGCATGGTGGCTGGGGAATTCTGGAAGTTGAAGTCCACTCGTCTTAAAGCATGGTGGCTGGGGAATTCTGGGAGTTGAAGTCCACCCCTCATTGGGCTCCATTAAGGACTACCTGTTCTTCTGTTTCTGAGTCTTTCTTCGCGTCAGCTAAAATTATCTCCTCCCTGAGCTTCTGCAGAGCCCACCAAGGAAAAGTCAGGGCAGAAGCAACCGGAATAACAGAATAACAGAGTTGGAAGGGACCTCAAGAGGTCTTCTAGTCCAACCCCCTGCTCCAGCAAGGTAGGCCGGGCACCCATGGAGTCCTATGAACATTGCTTTGGTTTTTTACTCTCAGGACCTGGGAGCTGAAAGGGGTCTGTGAGGTGGAGTTAGCTGCAGATAGTCCTCGGCTTACGACCACAATGGAGTCCCCAAATTAACGTTGCTACGTGAGACATTTGTTAAGTGAGTTTTGCTCCATTTTACAACCTTGCTTCCAGTTGTTAAATTACTCACACGGTTGTTAAGTGAATCGGGCTTCCCCCGCTGACTTAGCTCGTCAGAATGTCGCAAAATGAGGATCGCGTGACACACCCCCCCCCAGGACGCTGCGACCGTCGTAAATACGAGCCAGTTGCTGAGTGTCTTGATATTGATCGCGTGACCATGGGGACACGGCAACCGTCATAACTATGAGTCAGTTGCCAAGCGTCCGGATTTTGATCGTGGGACCGCAGCGATCGTAAGGGTGAGAAACGGCCGTATGTCGTTTTTTTTCACTGCCGTTGTGCCTTCCAACGGTTACTAAACGAACGGTTATAAGCCGAGGACTATTTATTTATTTATTTCTAAAATTTATATGCTGCCCAATCCCAAGGGACTCAGGGCGGCGTACAAAATTAAAACAATAATCTGACAATAAAACAATAAAATAAATACATTCATACAGCGTGTCCGATCGTACCTGGATATCCAGCCCCTGCCTGGAATCCATGGGGCCCGCCCAGGGAAATGTGTCCCCTGCCATCCACCCATCTCATAGTAGTAGTAGTAGTAACAATAATAATAATAATAATAATAATAATAATAATAAAGTTGGAAGGGACCTTGGAGGTCATCTAATCCAACCCCCTGCTCAGGCAGGAAACCCTATACCATTTCGGACAAAGGGCTGTCCAGTCTCTTCTTAAAAACTTCCAGCGTTGGAGCATTCACCGCTTCTAGAGGTGGGTTGTTCCACTGGTTAATTGTTCTGACTGTCAGGAAGTTTCTCCTTAGTTCCAGGTTGCTTCTCCCCTTGATCAGTTTCCATCCGTTGCTTCTTGTCCTGCCTTCAGGCGCTTTGGAGAACAGCTTGACTCCCTCTTCTTTGGGGCAGCCCCTGAGATATTGGAATACTGCTATCATGTCACCCCACCTCAGTCTTTCTTTTCATTAAACTAGACATACCCAATTCCAGCAACCGTTCCTTGTGGGTTTTAGCCTCCAGTCCCCTGATCATCTTTCTCTTCTTCTCCCCTCCAGGAATGCTGCGGAGACCACCGCCCTCTTTGAGAAACACCGGCCCACCCATGTCATCCACCTGGCGGCCATCGTCGGGGGTCTCTTCATGAACCTCAGCCACAACCTGGATTTCTGGGTGAGGGTCTTGTGGACCTGATTGGTCAGCCTTAAAAGAGGGAAGCGCTTTGTTCTGAAACCCCAAATGAGCTACAAGTGTCCTGGGAGTTTGGCCAAACCGCTGGGTTTTGACTGAAAGGAAACCACGAATGTTTGCTTGTTCCAGGTTTGGGGCAAAACAAAACGCAGAGTGTTTTGTGGTGATGGTTTTTTTTTTTTTTTCAAGGTAAGCGGGCAGGGCTGCTGTGTCTGGCGCCAGGAGCCAGCCGGTGTGTCCGTGGAAGGCCCTCGGCTTGGTTCGTGTAACGCTCCGTGCTTGCAAGCCATCTTTGCTCAGAGCAACCATGGTTGGGGCCTATATCCAGAACTAAATAGCTTCCTTTCATTCGGTACACTGACAGAACAGGCCTCGTTAATTTGAAGGGCTCCCCCAACCTTTATACTACCTGTCTAAAACGAAGGAAAATTATGGGAAGCTGATTTCTCTCTCCTTCCTTCCTTCCTTCCTTCCTTCCTTCCTTCCTTCCTTCCTTCCTTCCTTCCTTCCTTTCTTCCTTCCTTTTTTCTATTTCTTTTTATATTCCTTCCTCCTTCCCTCCCTCCCTTCCTTCTTTTCTTCTTTTTCTCTTTCTTTTTATATTCCTCCCTCCCTTCCCTCCTTCTCTTCCTTCTTTCCTTTCTTTTTTATCTTCCTTCTTTCTTTCCCTCCCTCCCTCCATTATTTTTCTTTCTTTCTTTCTTTTTCTCTTTTTCTGTTTCTTTATTTTTTCTATTTTTATATTCCTCCCTTCCTCCCTCCTTTTTTTCTTCTTTTTCTATTCCTTCCTCCCTTCTCTTTCTCTCTCCCTCTCTTCTCTTTCTTCCTTCATTCCCTTCCCTCCTTCCATCTTCCTTTCCTTCCTTTCTCTCTCTGTCCCTTTCTTCCTTCTTTCCTTCCATCTATTTCCTTTTATATTCCTTCCTCCCGTCCCTCCCTCCCTTCCTTCTTCTTTTTCTTTTTTTCCCTTTCTTTTATATTCCTCTCCCTTCCTTCCTTCCTTCCGTCTATTTCCTTTTATATTCCTTCCTCCCTCCCTTCCTTTTCTTCTCTTTCTTTTTCCCCTTTCTTTTATATTCCTCCCTCTCCCTTCCTTCCTTCCTTCCTTCCTTCCTTCCTTCCTTCCTTCCTTCTGTCTATTTCCTTTTATATTCCTTCCTCCCGTCTCTCCCTCCCTTCCTTCTTCTCTTTCTTTTTTTCCCTTTTATATTCCTCCCTCTCCCTCCCTCCCTCCCTCCCTCCCTCCCTTCCTTCCTTCCTTCTTTCTTTCCTTCCAAAATTTTGGCTACATTTAAAAATAAATTATAAAATTATTCTGCAAAAAAAACATCTTCCAAAAGTGTGGAGCTGGAATGGAAGGGTGATGAATTTGTTCAGCCTAAAGACTGCATGGAGTAGATGAAATATTTCCCTCTGTCTTGGTTGGGTTTATATTCCTCCATGAACTTTAGATCTGCCCCCCTCCACGTGGATGAAAAATCCCTCATTTTTTAAAATCCTCCTGAGCTGCTTGTCTCTTCTTTGTCCTCTTCCCTCCACCCAAATTGGTGGCTGACTTGAATTGTAATTAATTTAGATCAATTATATATATCAAGGGTGTCTTAAGGAAAGATTTAAAAAAAAAAAGGGAGTTGAAATCCACAAGTCATAAAAGGGCCAAGGTGGAAGACCCCTGTTTTACAGCATCTGATTGTGGGTTTCTCCCTTTCCGTGTCCCCCAGAGGAAGAATATCCACATCAACGACAATGTCTTGCAAGCAGCATTCGAATCCGGGGTCCAGAAAGTCGTTTCCTGTCTGTCCACCTGCATATTTCCAGACCAGACCACCTACCCTATTGACGAGACCATGGTAAGGGGCTGTGCGGGCCACATCCTCCTTTCTCCACTTAACAGGGGGTCCCCGACGTACGGCCATGGAGCCCAACATTTCCGCCGCTAAGTGAGACAGTTCTTAAATGAGTCTTGCCCCCGTTTTACCTCCTTTCTCCTTTCCAGTTGTTAAGTGAAAAACTGCAGTTTTTAAGTTAGTAGTTCGGTTGTTAAGTGAATTCCCTCATTGATTTTGCGAAGTGAGATCACGTGATCCCGGGATCATGTGACCCCAGGGATGATGCAGTGGTCATAAGTGCGAAGAAGGTCATAAGTCACATGTTTTTTAGTGCCACTGTAACTTCGGCCCATAAAGGGATGGTTGTAAATTGAGGACTTCCTGTATTGACGTAGCTTTTTTTACAACTCAGATTCCAAGGCATGCAGGTAATCCTCGACGTAACGGCCGCAGTCGTACCCAAAATTTATGTCGTTAAGGGAGACATTTGTTAAATGAGTTTCGCCCCATTTTACGACCTTCCATGCCATCGTTGTTAAGTGAACCACTGCAGTTGTTCAGCCAGTAACACGGTCGTTAAGCGAATCTGGCTTTCCCATGGAGTTTGCTTGTCCGGAGGTCACAAAAGGGGATCACGCAATCCCAGGACACTGAGACTGTCATAAGACGAGTCAGTTGCCAAGCCTCTGAATCTTGATCACGTGACCCTCGGGAGGCTACAACGGTCCTAAGTGTGAAAAACGGTTGTAAGTCCAGTGTTGTGTGCTGTTGTAACTTTGAACGGCCACTAAACGAAACAGTTGTAACTTGAGGACTGACCTGTATTTTGTTCCTTAGAATTGCTTGTTTTGCAGCCTGGATATGCTGGCCTCTAATCATAACAAAGTTTTGATTGACTGAAGCACCTTAAAAAAACTTTTCCAAAGTAATTTGTGTTCCAAGGAGGACTAGCTTTACAGCTAGTCCTGATGAGGTTAGCTAGTTGGGTCGTGAAATATCTGCAAGAAAACAACCCAGCTCAGACAGTAATAAGGACTTCACAGTTGTCATTCACCACTCTTCCCCCTCCTCCTCCTCCTCCTCCTCCTCCTCCTCCTCCTCCTTTCCACAAACCCCACTCCCTTCTACAGTAGTACTGATGATGTTACCTAATTGGCTCATGAAACGTCTGCAAGAAAACCCAGCTCAGACATCAACAAGGACTTCACAGTAGTCATCCACTCCTCCTTCTCCTCCTCCTCTTCCTCCTCCTCCTCCTCCCTTCCACAGACCCCACTCCCTTCTACAGTAGTACTGGTGATGGTACCTAATTGGCTCATGAAATGTCTGCAAGAAAACAACCCAGTTCAGACATCAACAAGGACTTCACAGTTGTCATCCACTCCTCCTCCTCCTCCTCCTCCCCTCCCTTCCTCCCTCCCTCTGGCACACCACAACTGGCTGGGGCAGGGGTAGGCAACCTTGGCTCTTTTATGACTCGTGGACTTCAACTCCCAGAATTCCTGAGCCAGCATGGGGGGAACTATGGCCCCTTCATGGCTTGTGGACTTCAACTCCCAGAATTCCTGAGCCAGCCACGCTGAGGGGAAAGGGAGAAGTTCCCAAGCTGAGCCATGCTGGCTCAGGAATTCTGGGAGTTGAAGTCCACGAGTCATAAAAGAGCCAAGGTTGTCTACCCCTGGGCTAGGGAATTCTGGGAGTTGAAATCCACCCATCTTAAAGTTGCTGAGATCAAGAAACACTGTCCTAAACTACACTTAATTTACTTCTCAGGGTTCCTTCTAACCCAGTGGTTCTCAACCTTTTTAATGCCGCGACCCCCAACCGGTCGTAAGTCGAGGACTACTCAACTGATGCAGCACCGTTTGCAGAATGGGGCTTTTGGCGGGCTCAGCAGGGCAGAGACAGCCTGGACAATTCCTATTGGCTTTTGAAAGCCAATAGAATTAGACTCTATTCAAGAAAGTATATTCTATTGGCTTTCAGAAGCCAATAGAATAAAAGGGAGTAGCATAGCTAAGGAAAAGGGGGGAAAAATGGCAGACTGCATTGTTTGGTGACCCCCGTGAAATGGTCGTTCGACCCCAAATGGGGTCCCGACCCACAGGTTGAGAACCACTGCCCTAATCCTAAATCTGGAGTCGGTTCACGTTAAGCTCTTCTCCGCTATCTTTGGTCTTCCTGCTTGTCCCTGGAGGTCTCTCCGCCGAGCCGATTGGTGGCCTCCAGAGGAGAAAGAGAATTCTACATTTTCAGATTGTAAAAATTGTTGCTGGGACTTTCTTAATGTGCAAAACTTCCCTTCCAGATTCACAACGGCCCTCCGCACAGCTCCAACTTTGGGTACGCTTATGCCAAAAGGATGATTGATGTGCAGAACAGGTAAGTCTCATCTGGTCATCCCTGGGAGGCGAGGCTAGGTCAGGTTAGGACACGGGTAGGCAACCTGGGCTCTTTTATGACTCATGGACTTCAACTCCCAGAATTCCTGAGCCAGCATGGGGGAACTATGGCCCCTTCATGGCTTGTGGACTTCAACTCCCAGAATTCCTGAGCCAGCATGGGGAAACTAGGGCCCCTTCATGATTGGTGGACTTCAACTCCCAGAATTCCTGAGCCAGCATGGGGAAACTAGGGCCCCTTCATGACTGGTGGACTTCAACTCCCAGAATTCCTGAGCCAGCATGGGGAAACTAGGGCCCTTCATGACTGGTGGACTTCAACTCCCAGAATTCCTGAGCCAGCATGGAGGAACTAGGGCCCCCTTCATGACTGGTGGACTTCAACTCCCAGAATTCCTTAGCCAGCATGGGGAAATATGGCCACCTCATGACTGGTGGACTTCAACTCCCAGAATTCCTGAAACAGCACGGCTCAGCTTGGAAACCTCTCCCTTTCACCTCAACGCGGCTGGCTCAGGAATTCTGGGAGTTGAAGTCCACCAGTCATAAAAGAGCCAAGGTTGCCTAGCCCTGGCCTATACCCAGAAAGTTTTATTCGACTGGCAATCTGTGTTAACCAAGTATATTTGTTTCTTGAGGCAAGAATTTGCTGTTCTTAGGAAGAAAAAAATACAATCTGAGGTAGTGCTTCCCAACCTTGGTGCGTCTGGACTTCAACTCCCAGAATTCCTGAGCCAGCATGGCTCAGCTTGGAAACCTCTCCCTTTCCCCTCAGCATGGCTGGCTCAGGAATTCTGGGAGTTGAAGTCCACACGTCATCAAAGAGCTGAGGTTGCCTACCCCTGGGTTAGGAGAAGAGATCCTGCAGGAGAAAAGCTGAGAATTAATCCTGATTTGATGCTGACTAAGATTGAGCAAATTATTGTGGTGCTGGGGTAAAAAGATAGTCCTTCACTTACAAGTTGAGATGGAAAAAAAACTGGAAAAACTGGGAAAAAACAGGGCTTTTTTCTGGTTTCTTTTCCAAACGGCTTTGGAAAAAAATGGGAAAAAAACTTTTTTTTTTCAATTTTTTCCTGGGTTTTTTCCCCCCAGGCCTTTCCATCTCTATGTTATAAGTATTTATTTATTTAGTGACTGCTCAAAGTTAACACTTTATGTTGCAGCAACCCCAGAGTCACATCATCAAAAATTTGAGTACTTGGCAGCTGACTCATACTTATGACGATCGCAGGGCCCCGGGGTCATGTGATCCTCTTCTGACAAGCCACGGGGGAGCCAGGTTCCCTCAGCAACCAGGTCACAAACGTAACAACTGCAGCGCCTCATTTAACAACCGTGGCGAGAAAGGTCATAAAACAGGGCAAAACCCGAGCATTAATCATTAATAGCCACAGCAACAATTAACAAGTGTCTTGCTTAGCAACAGAAAATTTGGGCTCAATTAATAATAATAATAAAGTTGGAAGTAACCTTGGAGGTCATCTAGTCCAACCCCCTGCTTAGGCAGGACACCCTATACCAGGGGTAGGCAACCTTGGCTCTTTTATGACTCAAGGACTTCAACTCCCAGAATTCCTGAGCCAGCCATGCTGAGGGGAAAGGGAGAGGTTTCCAAGCTGAGCCGTGCTGGCTCAGGAATGCTGGGAGTTGAGGTCCTCGAGTCATAAAAGAGCCAAGGTTTCCTATCCCTGCCCTATACCATTTCAGACAAATGGCTGTCCAGTCTCTTCTTAAAAACCTTCCCGTGTTGGAGCATTCACAACTTCTGGTGGCAAGCCGTTCCACTGGCTAATTGTCCTCACTGTTAGAAAGTTTCTTCTTTAGTTCTAGGTTGCCTCTCTCTTTGGTTAGTTTCCATTCAATTGTGGTCATAATTCAAGGACTCTCTGTACAGGGAGCCCTCCAGATATGACTGTTCACTTAGTGGCCGTTTGAAGTTATGATGTACCCCCCTCTCCAAAAGAGTACTTACAACCTCGATGCGAAGTTCTGACAGCCGCCTGCCTCGCCCAGCCTTGCAGTCACACATATTTGGGTGTTTGGCAATTTAAAGCTGTTTACCACATCACGTCATCTTGTAACCATGATTTGCAATGTTCTGGCTTGTAGCAAGAAGCGCCTATTTGTTAAGATATTGATTTAACAGCTAACCAGCTTATATAATGTAAGATATAAGATGAAATTATGGGAATGACTCAGCAAGGTCTGTATCTCTTTAAGAGCCAGCAGGGTCTGAGTCTCTTTAAGAGCCATTGTATAAAGGGAAGACTCTTCTGATGTGTTCTCTCTCTTCCGCTTCCTGCTGTAACTGTGGTTTGTTGGATCCTGCTATATTAGCATGTGTATGTATACTGTTCCAGGTATATGATATTGTAGGTAGTGTAAGATAAACTATTTAATATAGACCACTGTTTACTGTGTTTATTCCTGGCTTATCTTGCGCAATAAGATTGCTCTGACACTATTTTTGGACAATAGGTGTACTTAACGACTGCTGAGCTCACTTAACGACCTCCGTAGAAAAAGAGTCATAAAATAAAATTGGTCATGTGATGACTCGCTTAACGACCGGCCTGACCTATGACCATAATTCCAGGTTCAATTACAGTCGTAGGTCAAGGACTACCTAATTCTGTGCCATTCAGCACCCCAGGTGTTCTGCCCTCCCCTTCCCAATTTCCTTTTCTTCCCGCAGGGCCTACTTCGAACAGCATGGATGCCACTTCACCGCCGCCATCCCGACAAACATCTTTGGGCCTCACGACAACTTCAGCATCGAAAATGGACACGTCCTGCCGGGCCTGGTCCACAAAGTGTACCTGGCCAAGAGTGAGTGAGAGAGAGAGCAGGAAGGTGATGGTGTGTCTCTGTGTGTGTGTCCCTTGTCCTGCCCTCTAACACAAAACCATTTGGGAGATCCAATTTGGTCTAGTGGTTAAAGCATCAAGGTAGAAACCAGGAGATGGTGAGTTCTAGTCCCACCTTAAGCATGAAAACCTGCTGGGCAACGTTGGGAAATGGTGAGTTCTAGTCCCGCCTTAAACATGAAAGCTGACTGGGTGGTTCTGGGCCAGTCACCAGGAGACGGTGAGTTCTAGTCCACCTTAGGCATGAAAACCACCTGGATGACTTTTGACCGACCACCAGGAAATAGTGAGTTTTAGTCCCGCCTTAAGCATGAAAGCCAGCTGGGTGACTTTAGACCAATCACCAGGAGATGGTGAGTTCTAGTCCACCTTAGGCTTGAAAACCAGCTGGGTGACTTTAGACCAATCACCAGGTGACTGTAAGTTCTAGTCCACCTTAGGCATGAAAACTCTGTGACTTTTGACCGACCACCAGGAAATGGTGAGTTCTAGTCCCGCCTTAAACATGAAAGCTGACTGGGTGGTTCTGGGCACGGTGAGTTCTAGTCCCGCCTTAGGCATGAAAACCAGCTGGGTGACTTTAGACCAATCACCAGGTGACTGAGTTCTAGTCCCGCCTTAGGCATGAAAACCAGCTGGGAGACTTTCGGCCAATCACCAGGTGACTGTGAGTTCTAGTCCACCTTAGGCATGAAAACCAGCTGGGTGACTTTAGACCAATCACCAGGCGGCTGTGAGTTCTAGTCTACCTTAGGCATGAAAAACAGCTGGGTGACTTTAGACCAATCACCAGGTGACTGAGTTCTAGTCCACCTTAGGCATGAAAACCAGCTGGGAGACTTTGGGCCAATCACCAGGCGGCTGTGAGTTCTAGTCCACCTTAGGCATGAAAACCTGCCGGGTACCTTTAAGCCAATGAGTAGGAAATTTTCTTAGTCCCTCCTTCAGCATTAAAACTGTCTGGCTGACTTTAAGGCGGTCCCTCTCCCTCAATTTATTTATTTATGAGACTTATATACCGCTTTAAGTGCAAGCACTCTCTAAGCGGTGTACACCAGTAAGCAATGTATATATATATATATATATTTACATTGCCCCCAACAATCTGGGTCCTCATTTTACCTACCCCGGAAGGATGGAAGGCTGAGTCAACCTTGAGCTGGTGAGATTTGAACCGCTGACATGCTGAACACAGTCAGCTAAAGTGGCCTGCAGTACTGCACTCTAACTGCTGCGCCACCTCGGCTCACAGGGTTGCTGTTTTGGATAAAACAGCAAAAGGACGTGTGTGTTGGATATAACCGCCACCTTGTGTTATTTGTAAAAAAAAATAATAGAAGTTGAGATGAAGATTAAAAAAAATAACCAAACAACGGAGTTGGAAGGGACCTCGGAGGTCTTCTAGTCTAACCCCCTGCTCAAGCAGTAAAGGAAAATAAACAAACAAACAAATGCAGAGCACCGTGATTGGGCTCAATGGGAGACCTGGCAGGGGAGGGGGTGCCTTTAACAGAGGGGCTCCTGGCGTATTCCCACCACCTCTGCAGTTGAAGAGAAGGAAAGAGAGCCCGACAAAGGAACCATCCAGGGCAGTGGTTCTCAACCTTTTTAATGCCGCAACCCCCAACCGGTCGTAAGTCGAGGACTACTCAACTGGTGCAGAATGGGACTTTTGGCGGGCTCAGCAGGTCAGAGACAGCCTGGACAATTCCAATTGGCTTTTGAAAGCCAATGGAATTAGACTCTGTCCAAGAGAGTCTATTCTATTGGCTTTCAAAAGCCAATAGAATAAAAGGGAGTAGCACAGCCAAGGAAAAGGGGGGAAAAAAATGATGGACTGCGTTGTTTGGCGACCCCCGTGAAATGGTCGTTCGACCCCAAATGGGGTCCCGATCCCCAGGTTGAGAACCACTGCTCCAGGGCTCCTTCTGGCTCCTTCCCCCCTCCCTTCCTCTGAGCAATCAAGGATCATAAATCAAATAAATCTGAGAGATGTGGCTGCAGGTCAGAGTCCTGGCAGACACTCTGCCTCAGCTAGAATCCCGGCTCGCGAACAAGCCGAGATTGCCAGCGCATCTGCTAAGCATTTCGCCTCTTTCTGTTCTCGTTCCTGGGCTGAATCCTACAGGCACTGCCAAAAACCTCCTGATGGTGCTGCATTTTGGTACAAGGTTAGGCTCTGCAGGCTTTCAAATTGGGGCGGGGGGAAGCGACCCCTCTCTGCTGTCCCTACAACGGACCCAGAGAGGCATAGGAGAAAAATAACGACGCTGAAGTCCAAGCAGTCCTCAGCTTACAACCGTTCATTTCGCGACCATTCGGAGTTACGACAGTGTTGAAAAAAGCGACTTGTGCACCGTTTTTCACACGACCGTCGTAGCCTCCCTGCGGTCACGTGATCAAAATTCAGACGCTTGGCCCCGACTCGTATTTACGATGGCTGCATCGCCCCGGGGTCACCTGATCCCCTTTGGTGACCTGACAAGCAAAGTCAAAGGGAGGAAGGCGGTGTGAAAAACCGTGTGAAAAATTTAACAGCTGCAGTGATTTACTTAAGCACCGTGGCAAAAATGGTCATTTTTTTTCAGCGCCGTTGTAACTTGGAACGGTCACTAAGCAAACTCTTGTAAGCTGAGGACTACTTATGCTAAATAAGAAGATTAAATGTTGAGACTCTAGAAAGAGTACAGAGAAGAGCAACAAAGATGATCAGGGGACTGGAGGCTAAAACATACAAGGAACGGTGGCTGGAATTGGGCATGTCTAGTTTAATGAAGAGAAAGACTAGAGATGACAGGATAGCAGTCTTCCAATATCTCAGGGGCTGCCCCAAAGAAGAGGCAGTCAAGCTATTCTCCAAAGTCACCCGAAGGCAGGACAAGAAGCAACGGATGGAAACTAATCAAGGAGAGAAGCAACCTAGAACTAAGGAGAAACTTCCTGACAGTTTGAACAATTAACCAGTGGAACTACCTGCCTCCAGAAGCGGTGAATGCTCCAACACTGGAAGTTTTTAGGAAGAGACGGGACAGCCGTTTGTCCGAAATGGCATAAGGTTTCCTGCCCGAGCAGGGGGTTGGACTAGATGACCTCCAAGGTCCCTTCCAACTTTATTATTCTTATTAAATCGGCATCAAAGAAGGTTTGTGGAAATGAGCTGGAGGGTGAAGGCGGACATTTCCCGCGGAAGAATTGAGGAAGGGCAGAAGATGCTGTATCTGACGGCGAACTTTCTCCGTGCTTTTCCTCCAGAATACGGCACTGACGTCACCGTCTGGGGGACGGGAAAGCCTCGGAGGCAGTTCATTTACTCTCTGGTAAGCCTAATTGCCCCGCTGCACCTCGGGGAACGGAGGGAGAAATTTCAAGTTCAATCTGAGGGCGGGCAACGCCAAAATTGACTTCAAGCGGTTCCAGGAAAGTTTTAGACGCAGCTTGTCCACAACCAACAACTGCAACGGAGCCTCCCCATTGCTGTTGTTTTGTCGTGCCAGGGAAATTGGGAGATTCGGGCAGTTCGAATGTGTGTAAAGATTTATGTTAGCTTAAGCTCTTTACGACAGCGGTCCCCAACCTTTGTGGCTTGGTGGCCCAACTTGGTGGAGGGGAGAGGGGAACCATGCCAGTGCAATTAGTAACACAACTGAATTTCTTGCTTTTTGTATGTAGCATCCCATGGACACCATACCGCATTTTACGATAGCTTTATGGAAAACTGACACTTCCAGTTTCAGACAAATTTCGGACAAATGGCTGTCCAGTCTCTTCTTAAAAACTTCCAGTGTTGGAGCATTCACCGCTTCTGGAGGCAGGTGGTTCCACTGGTTAATTGTTCTGACTGTCAGGAAGTTTCTCCTTAGTTCTAGGTTGCTTCTCTCCTTGATCAGTTTCCCTCCGTTGCTTCTTGTCCTGCCTTCAGGTGTTTTGGAAAATAGCTTGACTCCCTCTTCTTTGGGTACCCCCTATACAGGTATACTATAGGAGGTACCTTGCTCAATAGTAGTAACTGTGAGAGGGATCTCGGAGTCCTAGTGGACAATCCCTTAAATAGGAGCCAGCCGTGTGCTGCAGCTGCCAAAAAAGCCAACACAGTGCTAGGCTGCATTAACAGAAGGATAGAATCAAGACCACGTGAAGTGTTAATACCACTTTACAACGCCTTGGTAAGGCCACACTTGGAATCCTGCATCCAGTTTTGGTCACCACGATGTAAAAAAGATGTTGAGACTCTAGAAAGAGTACAGAGAAGAGCAACAAAGATGATTAGGGGACTGGAGGATAAAACATACAAAGAACGGTTGCTGGAATTAGGTATGTCTAGTTTAACAAAGAGAAGGACAAGGGGGGACAGGATAGCAGCCTTCCAATATCTCAGGGGCTGCCCCAAAGAAGAGGCAGTCAAGCTGTTCTCCAAAGTGCCTGAAGGCAGGACAAGAAGTGACAGATGGAAACCAACCAAGGAGAGAAGCAACCTGGAATTAAGCAGAAATTTCCTGACAGTGAGAACAATTAACCAGTGGAACAACCTGCCTCCAGAAGCGGTGGATGCTGCAACACTGGAAGTTTTTAAGAATAGACTGTGCAGCCATTTGTCTGAAATGGTATAGGGTTTCCTGCTTGAGCAGGGGGTTGGACTAGATTGACCTCCAAGGTCCCTTCCAACTTCATCATCATCATCATCATCATCATCATCATTATTATTATTATTATTATTATTATTATTATTATTATTATTATTATTATAATATTGGAACACTGCTATCATGTCCCTTCTGTCCCTTTGCAAAACCTTTTGGCACGGAGAAGAAACCCAAGGGAGCCGAGACCTGGATGCGTTTTTGCTGAAAACGGGAAGTGTCGGTTTCCCACAAAGCTATGACCAAATGCGGTCTGATGACCACGGGATGCTCCAAAGAGCGGCAAATTCAGTTGTGTTGCTAATTATCTGAACTTTGCTCACACGAGCGCAGAGGGGGCCCAACTGTATTTGAATCTGGGTCACAAAAGTGCTCCTTTTGGGGTTGGTCGTAACTTGGAACGGTTGCTAAGCAATCTGTCGTATATCGAGGACTATTACCAATATTACCAGTTCCGTCTCTTGGGCCTTTCAGGACCTGGCTCGGTTGTTCGTGTGGGTCTTAAGGGAGTACGACGAAATAGAACCCATCATCCTGTCAGGTAGGTGCCCTCCGTTCCGATCACGGGAGGTTTTTTTTTTAAAAAAAATTAAATCAGATTTTGTTTTTGTGACGACCCATCTGCTGCCTCTCTTGCCTACTGCTTCTCGCCTGCTGCTTGTGCAAAGAGAGCTGGGCATGCTTGCGTGTGCGCCTGCTGTTCACACAGAACCATGACTTCTGCCCCCCTCCCTCCCTCCCCCGCCAAGCTGCCAATCCAGAAAGGTTGGGAAGCGCTGTGCTAAGCAACTTCCTGGCCTCTAGACAGAATCTTGCCGAACTCAAGCAGACTATTTGCATTATTAAAGGGATCTTCTGAGAAGTTCCACGGAGGAGCCCTCCGGAGGAGGAGGGGGAGAAGGAGGAGAGGACTGGGGGGTCTTCGATGCTCTCTGAGCTGGGTGGTTTTCTTGCAGATGTTTCATTACTCAACTGGGTAACATCATCAGTGCTAGAAGGGAGGGGGGTTTGCAGGGAGGAGGAGGAGGAGGATATAAAAAGAGAGTAAACCCCATTCCTTACTAGCACTTATATTACCTAGCTGAAACATCTGCAAGGAAACCACCAAGCTCAGAGAGCACCAAGGATCCACAGTCTTCCTCCTCCTCCTCCTCCTCCTCCTCCTCCTCTCTCCACAATCTCCACTCCCTTCTAGCACTGGTGATGTTACCTAGTCTGGTAATGAAACACCTGCAAGGAAACCACCGAGCTCAGAGAGCACCAAGGATCCACAGTCTTCCTCCTCCTCTTCCTCCTCCTCCTCCTCCTCCTCCTCCTCCTCCTCCTCCTCCTCCTCTCCTCCACAATCTCCACTCCCTTCTAGCACTGGTGATGTTACCTAGTCTGGTAATGAAACACCTGCAAGGAAACCACCGAGCTCAGAGAGCACCAAGGATCCACAGTCTTCCTCCTCCTCTTCCTCCTCCTCCTCCTCCTCCTCCTCCTCCTCCTCCTCCTCCTCCTCTCTCCACAATCTCCACTCCCTTCTAGCACTGGTGATGTTACCTAGTCTGGTAATGAAACATCTGCAAGAAACCAACCCAGCTCAGACAGCACAAAGACCCCACAATCCTTCACCACCACCTCCTCCTCCTCTCCGCAAATCCCACTGCCTTCCAGCACTGATGATGTTCCCAAGTTGAGTCATGAAAAGTCTGCAAGAAAACCTCCAAGTTCAGACAGAAACAAAAGATTCCATAGTTGTCGTCCTCTCTTCCTCCTCCTCCTCCTCCTCTCTCCACAATCTCCACTCCCTTCTAGCACTGGTGATGTTAGTTTGGTAATGAAACGTCTGCAAGAAACCAACCAAGCCCAGACAGCCCAAAGACCCCACAGTCCTCCTCCTCTCCCTTCTGCAAATCCCACACCCCTGTAGCACTGATTGTGTTCTCTAGTTAGGTAATGAAACGTCTTCAAGAAAACCACCAAGCTCAGACAGCCCAAAGACCCCATGGTCGTTGTCGTCGTTGTCGTCGTCGTCGTCGTCGTCCTCCTCCTCCTCCTCTTCCTCCTCCTCTTCCTCCTCCTCCTCCTCCTCTTCCTCCTCCTCCTCCTCCTCCTCTCCCTTCTGCAAATCCCACTCCCCTGTAGCACTGATTGTGTTCTCTAGTTAGGTAATGAAACGTCTGCAAGAAAACCACCAAGCTCAGACAGCCCAAAGACCCCGCAGTCGTCGTCATCCTCCTCCTCCTCCTCCTCCTCCTCTCCCTTCTGCAAATCTCACTCCCCTGTAGCACTGATTGTGTTCTCTAGTTAGGCAATGAAACGTCTTTAAGAAAACCACCAAGCTCAGACAGCACCAAGGACCCCACGGTGTTATTCTCCTCCTCCTCCACCTCCTCCTCCTCCTCCTCCTCCTCCTCCTCTCCACAAACTCCTCTCCCTTCCAGCACTGCTGACGTTACCTAGCTTGGCAATGAAACACCCGCAAGAAAACAACCAAGCTCGGAGAGCGCCAAGGACTCCTCAACCCTGCCCACGTCCCATCTCAAAGACCCGGCCCATCCACCTTCCTTCCCACCTGGAGGAGGTTCAGGGCAAGGGGTGGGGGGCTGGACAGCAATAACAGGATGGATCCAAGGGAAATGGGGGGGCATCTCCAGAAGGGAGTCTCACCATCTTCTTCTGCTTCTTTTCTCTCAGTGGGAGAAGAAGAGGAGGTGTCCATCCGAGAAGCTGCTGAATGCATCGCGAAGGCCATGGATTTCAAGGGGCAGCTTCAGGTATCCTTTGTAAACAATTCCCTGGGCGTTGGAGCAGGCTCAGAAACTCGTCATTTTTTTCTACAATACGGCTATTTCTTGAGTAACGACACAGTTTCCCCTGCTAAGCAAAGGATGTGTGTGTGTGTGTGTGTGTGTGTGTAATTAAGTACACACACAGCTGCAGCTGCCAAAAAGGCCAACACAGTGCTGGACTGCATGAACAGAGGGATAGAATCAAGATCACGTGAAGTATTAATGCCACTCTACAATGCCTTGGTAAGGCCACACTTGGAATCCTGCATCCTGTTTTGGTCACCACGATGTAAAAAAGATGTTGAGACTCTGGAAAGAGTACAGAGAAGAGCAACAAAGATGATTAGGGGACTGGAGGTTAAAACATACAAGGAACGGCTGCTGGAATTGGGTTATCTCTAGTTTAACGAAGAGAAGGACAAGGGGGGACAGGATAGCAGTCTTCCAGTATCTCAGGGGCTGCCCCAAAGAAGAGGGAGTCAAGCTATTTTCCAAAGCACCTGAAGGCAGGACAAGAAGCAACGGGTGGAAACTAATCAAGGAGAGAAGCAACCTGGAACTAAGGAGAAACTTCCTGACAGTGAGTACAATTAACCAGTGGAACCACCTGCCTCCAGAAGCGGTGAATGCTCCAACACTGGAAGTTTTTAAGAAGAGACTGGACAACCATTTGTCCAAAATAGTGTAGGGTTTCCTGCCTGAGCAGGGGGTTGGACTAGATGACCTCCAAGGTCCCTTCCAACTTTACTATTATTATTATTAAGTAAGTTGCACCAATTTTTCAGCCAGAATTCTGGGAGTTAAAGTCCAAACACCTGAAAGTTCCCAAGATTTGAAGTCTGTACATCTGAAAGTTCTCAAGATTTGGAAACACAAATTGTCAGTTGTTTCTTTAGCTATCTGCCTCATGTAGGTATAGCTCCCATCTTCTCCGTGAACCACAGCCCTGCAAGGCTGGCCACCTCCAACCCTCCAGACCTCTGGGTTTTTAATACTACAAAACGCCAACTTGTTTTTCGTGTGATCCGTGTGAAGGTTGATATTGGGTTCCTTTTCTTTAACCTCATCCCCTACTTCAAGTTTGATGAATCCAAATCAGATGGCCAGTTCAAGAAAACGGCCAGCAACGACAAGCTGAGGAGATATCTACCCAACTTCCAGTTCACGCCGTTCGATCAAGGTAGGAGAACAACATTCCAGTGAGGACTCTTGGGTCTTCGTGTGCGACCTTGGGAGTGTTAAGTCACATTGGAGTGGATCTCCTTCACTCAATGAAGGTGACCCAATGATGTTGAAGACCCAAACACAACAACCCCAAGATTTGCAGTTTGATCCGTGGCTACCTAGTTTTGGTTTGTGTGTTGGCTACAACGGGCTATACCAGGGAGTCATCAAACTTGGCCCATTTATGACTTGTGGACTTCAACTCCCAGAATTCGTCAGCCAGGCACGCTGGCTGAGGAATTCTGGGAGTTGAAGTCCACAAGTCATAAAAGGGCTGAGTTTGAAGACCCCTGGGCTATAGAGTTTGACTATGGTTCAGTGTGCAGAGCTGACCTTGGGAGGAAAATTGTAGGAATGCAATTCGATTCGATTCGATTCAATTCATTTTCAATGTTTCTTAGAACAGGCCATACAATTTGATTATGCTTTGGTGCACAGAGCTGACCTTGGGAGAAAAACTGTAGTCATGCAATGCAATGCAATGCAATTGAATGAATTTAATTTAACATTTAATTTAAATCAATTTAAATCCATTCTAATTTAATTTAATTTTTAATTTCATTTAAATTCATTCATTCATTTAAATTCGTATTTCTCAGAAAGTCTATACAATTTGATTTGATTTAATTTGATTTAAATCAAATCAAATCAATTTTAATTTAATTTAATTTAATTATTTAATTTCATGTTTCTTAGAGAGGTTATACAGTTCGATTATTTTAACATTCCCCCAGGTTGAGAAACTCCGAGGTGGATGATTTAGCTTAACCTGCATAAAGCAAACCGGAACATATTTTTCTCTCGCTGAGGTGTTCCCGAAGCCCCTTTTGAAAACCCGGGACATAATTCCAAATTAGCTAAAAAAAAAAAATTCACCCCTGCAGAAAGCTGTCTCCTAACTTTTCCTGCTTCAGAAGGGCGAATACTCTTCTGATTTCATTGCCTTCCTCTCTCTTGCAGCCATGAAGGAAATGTGTGATTGGTTCTGCGCCAACTATGACACCGCCCGGAAATGACGAACGGGCACCGCAATGGCTGTGTGTTAAGTAGGGGCGGCTGCGCCCTTGTCTCAATCTCAGGTAGCTTTTTGGGTGGAGGGAGAAAAAATAAATAAATAAAAATAAAATAAATAAATAAAAATAAATAAAAGAAGCCCTTAGAGTACCAAGACCGGACTCTCTTTTTTTGTGTGTGTGTGTGTGTGTGTGTGTTTTTTCAACACAGAAAACCCCAGGTATAATTTTTCCAATTTGAAGATGGACCTTGCGTACTTAAAGCAAGCTGTTTGGATGACCGCTAGCCAGAAGAAGCCAATCCAGCAAGCAAATTTTAGTTCTCCACAGACTTGCCGTGTAGGCAGTGTTGGGATTCAAATAGGTGAACAACTGGTTTTCTGTGCGTGGATGCCGCTTCCGGAAGTCCGTTCTGGGCCTGGTCAACGAAGAATTAGCTACTGGTTCTGCCGAAGTGATGTGAACTGGCTGAATCCCACCACTGCCCCACTCCCTTCTAGCACTGACAATGTTACCTAGTTTGGTAAAGAAATGTCTGCAAGAAAAAAATCCAAACTCATCAAGGTGGCGCAGCAGTTAGAGTGCAGTACTGCAGGCCACTTTAGCTCAGCAGGTCAGCAGTTCAAATCTCACCGGCTCAAGGTTGACTCAGCCTTCCATCCTTCCGGGGTAGGTAAAATGAGGACCCAGATTGTTGGGGGCAATGTAAATATATATATATACATTGCTTACTGGTGTACACCGCTTAGAGAGTGCTTGCACTTAAAGCAGTATGTCTCATAAATAAATAAACTCAAAAAGTGCCAAGGACCACACAGTCCTCCTCCTCATAAACCCAACTCCCTTCTAGCACTGATGATGTTACCTAGTTGGGCAATGAAACGTCTGCAAGAAAACCACCCAGCTCAGAGAGCACCAAGGACCCCACAGTCGTCCTCCTCCTCTCAAACCCCGATGTAGGCAAAAGTCATCTCTTCCGTTTGTAAGACCAGGGGAGGTAGTCCTCACCTTACGACCGGTTGTTTTGCAACTGTTCAAAGTTACGTCAGCCAGGGCCCATAAAACACCCCCAGCTGTCGTATACAGTTGTGCCAACGTCCCTTTTTTATGTGACTGCACATTGGGCAGCTCAACTGTTCACAACATTCCACAGATCTGTGGCTGCAATTCGTGGGACTTGTTTTTGCCAGTTTCCAGGTTTTGCTGGTTTCTGCCAAACCCCCCCCCACATATATTCAAATCAATGGGTTCACTTAATGACGGTGGTATTTGCTTAATGACCGCCAGGACAAAGGCTGTAAAATTAACTTTTGGTCGTGTAGTTCCTTTGACACACGACGGTAATGGTTTACCAACTGGGTTTCCCATCCTAATTACGATCAACAAGTCAAGATATACATGTTTTACAGATAGTCCTCTACTTACGAACAACATTGACCCCCAAAATTCTGTTGCTAAGCAAGAATTGAGTTTTGCCCCCATTTTATGACCTTTCTTGGCCCATTCTTAAGCGAATCACTGCAGTTTTGGTTAAGTTAATCACACGGCTATTTTTTGATCGCAAAAGGGGATCGCGTGACCCCGGGGACACTGCGACCATCTAAATACGAATCAGTTGCCAAGTGGTTGAATTTTGATCATGTGACTCCTGGATGTTGCGACCGACGTAAATACGAGTCAGTGGCCAAGCAGCTGAATTTGGATCCCTGGGGATGCAGCGATGTCCGTCAGTGTGGAAAACGGTCACAAGTCACTTTTTTCAGGGCCATTGTAACTTGGAACGTTCACTAAATGAACTTTTAAGTCGAGGACTAACCTGTAGCGTTTTGGGCACACTTTGTCTCTCAGTGCTGCTTGGCGTGAAGAAACTGACCCATAAATCAAAATGAGAGGTGTCTTCTCTGTAATAAGCTGGCAATTAGCATTATCTGAAGCTTAAGAGACTTGCCAGATGTTGCTAAGAAAATTTCTGCATCAAACAGCTGCTGCTGCTTCCAGCAAGAACAGGTGGAGGGTGGGAACAAAGCTTGTGTTTTGTGGATGGTGTCACAAAAATACATACCCAGATTCCTTTTCAGAGGAACAATAGAATAACAAGAGTTGGAAGGGACCTTGGAGGTCTTCTAGTCCAACCCCCTGCTCAGGCAGGAGACCCTGTACTATTTCAAAGGGCTGTCCAATCTCTTCTTAAAAACTTCTACTGTTGGAGCATTCACAGCTTCTGGAGGCAGGTTGTTCGACTGATTAATTGTTGTTAACTGTCAGGAAATTTCTCTTTAATTCCAGGTTGCTTCTCTCCTTGATGAGTTTCCATCCATTGCTTCTTGTCTTTGCCTTCAGGTGCTTTGGAGAACAGCTTGACTGCCTCTTCTTTGGGGCAGCCCCTGAGATATTGGAAGGCTGCTATCCTGTCCCCCCTCGTCCTTCTCTTCGTTAAACTAGACATTCCCAATTCCAGCAACCTTTCCTTATATGTTTTAGCCTTCAGTCCCCTGATCATCTTTGTTGTTCTTCTCTGCACTCTTTCCAGAGTGTCAACATGTTTTTTACATTGTGGTGAACAAAACAAGATGCAGTATTCCAAGTGTGGCCTTACCAAGGCCTTGTAAAGTAGTATTAACCCTTCACGTGATCTTGATTGTATCCCTGTTAATGCAGCCTAGCACTGTGTTGGCTTTTTTGTCTGCTGCAGCACAACGCTGGCTCCTATTTAAGGGATTATCCACTAGGATTCTGAGGTCTTAGGTTCAAGATCCGGCATCCAACGGCCTTTTATTCAGAGGTGGCACTTTCTAGTTACGGGGAAGGTAGAAGTGTAGTTACTCTTGGCAGAGAAATTCTTTGGTGTGTTTCATATCCTCCAGGTCAGGGGTAGGCAACCTTGGCTCTTTATGACTGGTGGACTTCAACTCCCAGAATTCCTGAGCCAGCATGGCTCAGCTTGGAAACCTCCCTTTCCCCTCAGCATGGCTGACTCAGGAATTCTGGGAGTTGAAGTCCACAAGACATGAAGGGGCCATAGTTCCCCCATGCTGGCTCAGGAATTCTGGGAGTTGAAGTCCACCAGTCATGAAGGGGCCAAAGTTTCCCTCATGCTGGCTCAGGAATTCTGGGAGTTGAAGTCCGCAAGTCATAAAAGAGCCAAGGTTGCCTACCCCTGGTCTAGGAGGCTCACTGCTTAGAGCAGGAGGACTTAGGCCAGGGGTAGGCAACCTTGGCTCTTTTATGACTCGTGGACTTCAACTCCCAGAATTCCTGAGCCAGCCATGCTGAGGGGAAAGCGAGAGGTTTCCAAGCTGAACCATGCTGGCTCAGGAATTCTGGGAGTTGAAGTCCACGAGTCATAAAAGAGCCAAGGTTGCCTACCCCTGCTCCAGGTAAATAGCAGTGAAATCTTATAGGGAAGCTAAAATAGATCTGAATTCAAAATACAGGCTATCCTCAACTTACAACAGTTTAGTGGCCATTCAAAGTTACAACAGCACTGAAAAAAGTGAGTTATGACCGTTTTTCACACGACCGTCACAGCCTCTCCCAGGGTCATGTGATCAAAACTCAGCTACTCGGCAACTGACTCATGTTTATGACGGTTTCAGTGTCGTGTGATCCCCTTTTGCGACCTTCTGAGAAGCAGCCAATGGGGAAGACAGATTCACTTTTAACAACCATGTCCCTACTTAAATACCAGAGGTTCACTTAACAACTGGGGTGAAAAAGGTCATAAAATGGGACAAAACTCACTTAATGAATGTTTCACTTAGTAACATAAATTCTGAGCTCGTTTGGGATCGTAGGTCAAGGGCTACCTGTACTAACTTAACTGCAGTGATTCGCTTAACGTCCCAAGAAAGGTCACAAAACGGAGCAAAACTCACTGAAAGCCGTGTCTCACTGAGCGACGGATGGTGGTCGTACGTTGAGGATTACCTGTATATCCCCTTTAATTATTTTTTTTTAACTTCACTTATTTCCTTGGCTGCATTCGTATTTATAAAGAAAACATGTTTATTCGGCGTACACACAGCAACAATCAATTTTAAAAAGAAGGCAGTATAGACTCTTATTAAGTAAAACACTTTTGGGGACGGCAGCTGTTCGGTGTCACCGTAAAATTTCACCCTCTGCCAAAAGTGTCCTCAGAGCAACGTTCCGAGCAAATTTGGATCCAGGTTTATTTTCTCTTATTTGGAAGATCTCTCAAAGTGGAAAATTACAAAGAAATCTGGTCCTTTTTTTAGCTGAATGGATAGTCACAGTGACAGCTGCTTTAAGAAAGATGATTGTTTTAGATCAGGGGTCTTCAAACGTGGCCCCTTTACGACTTGTGGACTTCAACTCCCAGAATTCCACATGCCTGGCTGAAGAATTCTGGGAGTTGAAGTCCACAAGTCTTAAAAGTGGCCAGATTTGGAAACCCCTGCTATAAGATAAGAAAGGGGTCTTCAAACGTGGCCCTTTTACGACATGTGGACGTCAACTCCCAGAATTCCACGTGCCTGGCTGAGGAATTCTGGGAGTTGAAGTCCACAAGTCATCAAAGGGCCACGTTTGAAGAATAGATACTGCCTCCAGCCTAACGTAGGCAGAAAAATGGAAGGAGAACGTTAATGGTTCCCAAGTCCAACCGATTTAGATGTTTTCTGTCCACTGTTGGTAGAAACGAGATTATCCAGCAGCGCGTAAGTGCTAAATCGAGAGTAATCGACATTATTCCCCTGAAAATGGGCTTTCAGTCCACCAGAATCGCAAAGCAGGAAGGTCCGAAAGTGTCCCAAGGATGCTGCTGGTCAAGTGAGGTGGCTGTGTCCGGCCACGTGAACGTGGCAGAAGACCTGGTGGGAAAGGGACTTCTTCCTGCATGGCTGTCCAGTCCTGGTGATCCCTTGGCAAAAGGGCCTGGGAGAAGCCGAGCAGCTGGAGCTGCAGGGGGGAAAAAATGGAAGATGGCGATTGCTCGGGGTTAAACCAGAGTTAGCTTGACTTCTCAAATTCTTCTGCCTCAGTACTCCAGAGCAGGGTTTCCCCCCCCCCAAAATTTGGCAAGTTGAAGACTAGTGGACTTCAACTCCCAGAATTCCCCAGCCAGCTGGGCTAAGAGAGGGATTGGCCCAAAGTCACCCAGCCGGCTTTCATGCCTAAGGCGGGACTAGAACTC